ATCAATAAGTTGTTTTCAGACATACCTTACTATTCCTAAGTAAAGCCCTAGCCATGCATATAAGTTGTTTTCAGACATACCTTATTATTCCTAAGTAAAGCCCTAGCCATGCATATAAGTTGTTTTCAGACATACCTTACTATTTATTCCTAAGTAAAGCCATGCATATAAGTTGTTTTCAGACATACCTTACTATTCCTAAGTAAAGCCCTAGCCATGCATATAAGTTGTTTTCAGACATACCTTATTATTCCTAAGTAAAGCCCTAGCCATGCATATAAGTTGTTTTCAGACATACCTTACTATTCCTAAGTAAAGCCATGCATATAAGTTGTTTTCAGACATACCTTACTATTCCTAAGTAAAGCCATGCATATAAGTTGTTTTCAGACATACCTTATTATTCCTAAGTAAAGCCCTAGCCATGCATATAAGTTGTTTTCAGACATACCTTACTATTCCTAAGTAAAGCCATGCATATAAGTTGTTTTCAGACATACCTTACTATTCCTAAATAAAGCCCTAGCCATGCATATAAGTTGTTTTCAGACATACCTTACTATTCCTAAGTAAAGCCATGCATATAAGTTGTTTTCAGACATACCTTACTATTCCTAAGTAAAGCCCTAGCCATGCATATAAGTTGTTTTCAGACATACCTTACTATTCCTAAGTAAAGCCCTAGCCATGCATATAAGTTGTCTTTCTCCTACTGAGAAGTTTTCACCATTTTCGATGACTGGACTTTCGAGTTGATTGTCCAAATTACTAATTGTTGACTTCATATAGGTCTTCTCCAAAGATTCCCATAATTCTTGATCCGTGTGATGATTTAATGGATCTAAATTATAACTGGGATAAAAAGATGTTTGCAATGGTTGAAATAATTGATAATCACAGACCTCAGCAAATTTCTGTCAAGTTCACAAATGCAAAATGTCTGTACCTATATATATAAAGAGAGAGAATTTAAACTTACCGTATAGTACCTATAAAGAGTACAGGGTCTTGTGGAATAATGGATAGTTTAGATCGTAGATCATACAGTCCAATTTCACTGATATCCACATGATCTATTTTTATTGTGCCATGTGCAGCTTCTACCAATCTAAACAAACCCACACCCAAAGACGACTTACCTGTTAAAACAAAACATAACATATGCATATTCAAAAAAAAATACACAATACTCCTCCATTGAGTATAGTGCGTTCTTTATTGCAAATATATTGACTATTGTATTGAAAAACATCTTACCATATAGTTATGAAATTCACATTTTATAAAGGAAAGTAGGGGTCCAAGCTTGTGATGTACTTTCAAATTTATCAGTATTTACAGGGTTGTCTAATTGGTCACTACTTCATGATGATGAATATCAAAACTATTATATATAATTTCAAATT